AAACATGTTATACAAGTACTAGAACAATGTCTTAAAGAAGGAATCATCCTTTCTGAGAAAAAGGCAAAAATTGCTCAAACTAAGATTAATTTCTTAGGACTAGAAATTGAAAATGGAAGTCTAACTATGCAACCGTATATCATGAAAAAAATATCTGAATTCCCTTCAGAAATAGGAAATAAAAAACAACTACAAAGGTTTCTTGGAATCTTAAATTATGTAGAAGGCTACATAGCTAATTTGGCAGCGATACGTAAGCCTTTACAAGCAAAATTAAAAAAGGATGTCATTTTTACTTGGTCATCAAGTGATACAACATATGTAGAAAAAATAAAGAAAAAACTAAAAATTCTACCCACGTTATATCACCCTCAAGAAAATGATACAATGATTTTGGAAACAGATGCCTCCGACTCTTACTGGAGCGCAGTTTTAAAAGCAAAACCAGTAGACTCTTCTGAAGAAAAATTGTGTAGATATACTTCAGGAACTTTTAAGGATGCTGAAAAGAATTACCATAGTAATGAAAAAGAATGGCTCGCAGTTTTACGGGGCATTCAAAAATTCAAAATATATCTTATCTCTAATAGGTTTTTAGTAAGAACTAATAATAAAAATTTCAGTTATTTTATTAAAAATGAATTTAAAGGAGATTATAAACAAGGCAGATTGATTAGGTGGCAATTACATCTAAAGCACTATCAATTTGATGTTGAATATATAAAAGGTGATAAAAATTATCTTGCTGATTGTCTAACAAGGGAATTTGCAGGTATTTGATTAGAGAGACAAATACTTGAAAAAGATCAGCAAAAAATTGCAAAATCAAAAGCAAAAAGGACCAGAATGGATCTTCAAGTTGAAGAACTCAAATTAGAAATCATGCAAAAGGAGCATGAATTGGAAATCTTAAAGCAGAAGTTGAAGATAGTACAGTTAAAAAATCAGACCGAGAAGGGAAGCCTCTCAGAGCTTGATAGTAAAAGCAAGGCCAAAACCGAATACAAAGACGCTTTGGTGAAAGAACAAAAGACCCAGTCAACTTTTGTCGAGGAAGAAAGAGCACCTAACTAGTACACGGTGCACACCGGACCAAAAATTGGAGTCTATAATATCTTCGAGAAAATAAAAGACTTGCCACCTGAATATTATCATACGGCAAAAACTGAATTTGAAGCAAGGATGATCTTAGAAAAGCTCAAAAACAAAATCACTGAAAGAGTACCAGTATTTCGTAACACTGGTATTCCAGAAGAACACCATTTGAAAAATCCATTCATAAAATTTGATGAATTTAAAATACAACAACTGGATAATAAGATAATCAAAACTACTATAACTCAGAAAGAATGGCTCACGTTATACGAAGAGGTAAACGCGAGTACAAGTGAACAAGGATATATTCCTATTAGCAGAAATCAACAAATTAAAGCTATTCTGCTACCAGGAGTTACTCCTGAAATTACAAGAGACTTGTTCCTAGGAGGATTTATTGATACCCTCTACCCAGATAACAGTTTAAGAGAATTGTCATATTTTCCAAAAATCAAACAGGCGATCGCTTTGTACATGGAAAAATGCAGAATTCGTGAAAATAACAAATCAATCTTTGTCAAGATCTGGAGTTCAATACCAGACTGGAACGAAGAAGAACAATTTCCAGCCTACCACTATATTCATGTTGGGGTGTCTGGAGAAGTGAAACCACCAGTACCACTTGTACAAGAAAAACCTCTATTGACAGAGGAAGAATTGAAATTAGAGAGAGCAGATAGAATTTATTTTATCTTAAAAACATTAGAAAAAATAAATTCATCAAGCCAAATTAAAGTAAATTATTGCAGCCCAAATATTCTTCTGGTCAGTAATTTCAACAAGAAAATTGACAAACAAGACTTGGCCATAGTCCAGAATTGGCAGGATAATATCATCCTTAAGATTCATGCTACTGAAGCAACAAAGCAAATGGTGCAGTCCATTGTTCTTACAGTCAATGAAGAAAAAAAAAAACACCAGAAGAAAAAGAAGAAGGTTGCCGATACTAACGACAAGAGGGAGTCTGGCAAGCAAAAGGAAAAACATGTGGAGGACCCTACCACTTTGGAAAAAGGAGAAAATTCAAGCATGCCAGCTGCCACAGAAGACCTGCCAGCCATCGCCATGTGAAGACCCTACCACGATGTAATAATGTAGCGGATAAACTCATGAAGAGTTTCTGCTTTTTTGTCTTCTTTTCATTATCACCATGTAATAATGTAGCAGACCAACTCATGTGAAGTTTCTGCTTTTGCGTCTTCTTTTCATAATGCGTTTGGTGAGACGGCAACTTGTGCCGAACCCCAATAATTCACGCATTTCTAGTTACTATATAAGGGGGTGCTATTAGAGTATGTAAGGCATCAATCCCTCATTAGATTTCAAAATTTTACTCTCTGTAAACATTTAATATTCAATAAAAATTATTCTTAAGCTACGAGCTTTATATCACAGAAACATTAAGTTTCAAACACTTAGAAGCTATTAAGCTTCAAGAAAAGATCAAACCAAAAGCTTAGGCTAAAATTCTCTGGATATTCCTGGAGACACAATCGCTCGTCGAAATAAGACCCAGGAAGAAGGGCAATAAGACGACTCGGAGCACAGTGTTCGGAATTTGAGGATAAAGCAGGAAGCTATGGTGGACCAATCATCTCAAGCACACTAAAAGAATTCAAAACCCAGAAGAAAGGTATAAACTCAGAACTTTTTAATAATGTTTTTAATAACATTGAAAATTACATATAATTACCCATAAGGTTAGATAAATATGAAGAATTAAGAAGATTAGAAAATAATCTTTTAAAGTTCTTAAACTCGAAATTTTAGAAACTAAAAATTCTAGAAAATGGTGTTCAACGACAAACTATTAGAAATAATAAACAAAGATCAAAAGATAACTATTACAATGATATTCATTCATCACTAGTAACTAGAGAAAAAGAGTTAGCTAAAATTATATCAAACTTAGAAAAACTCTGTATATAAAAAATATATAATGCCTGCTATTTCGTGGGAGTATATTTTAGAATCAACTATTCAAAAGTTGAAAATTAAGTATCGAAATTTGATTCGAACTTGTGATAAAAATCTAATTGCTTCAGATATCGAAAGAATGGCCTATAGCCTTCGACTCGTTCAAAACGAGAATCCACTTACAACCCCAGAATTTGAGGTTTGTAAAAAATGGATTTATCATGGCAGAGTCTCATCTTTCTCAAGAGTATTCCACATAATTCAAAGTTTCAAATGATGTTTTCATTTTAAGAATGCTTTAATTTTTATATGATGAAAGAAGAGTTTGAAATGGATTTACTTGAAAAAGATGAAATGGATTTACTTGAAAAAGCTAGAGAAGATCTTTTAAAAGATCTAGAAAACCTTATATATGGAATTACACTCAAGAAAAATTATTATAAAAAGCATTCTACAAGAGATAATTACTATGGAGATTGTTTTCCAGAAATAGAAGGTCAAGTTTTTATTATTTGAAAAGTATAAAGAAAAAATTGAAAAAACTAAGATTTAATATCTAAGAATTTCCGCAAAAATTGACCATAAACCCGAAGTTAAAAGCTGGAGCAGCAGTAAAACAAAATGAAACCTGAAGTTAAAAGCTGGAGCAGCAGCAAATTGAAAATGAAACCTGAAGTTAAAAGCTGGAGCATATTGAAAATGGTATCAGAGCCTGGTAACAGGCGAAAATACTGAAATTTTAGATTAAAAGTCTATGGATAAAGAAAACAATCTTTTAGATTACTGCACAAAGCACGAAAAGTCAGGCTATTTAACTGAAGCCTTGATAGATGCAAATAAATTAGGAATAGCAGATCATGATTTAAAAAAGAATCATAATTACAGAAATGAAGGATTGATAAAGAAATTAAATAACTTAATTTCTAGAAAGAATGAAATTTTCTTTGGAATCATTTCTGGAGAAGAAGCAATAGATACAGATCAAACAGAAGGAAATGTAGTTATTCCTGTTATCTGTAAAGAACAAATTCTTTCTACATTGAAAGATCTAAAAACAGAAACTAGAAATAAAATCTCTTATTTACATGTTTCTACTATACAAATGATTCTTAAATCAACTTATAGTCTAGGAATAGATTCTCCTATTACAATAAGACTAACTGATAATAGAATGATTAATTATTCTGATGCTCTAATAGCTGAAGGGAGTGGAAATCTAAAATTTGGTAAAATTAAGTTTAATTTAAATTACCAAGTTGGAATGTCTTTATTGGACAATAATTTAGATGATTCCATCACTTTGTGTTGGAACATGAAAAGAAAAATAATGAAAACTGGAAATCACCAATTTTCAGTAACATGGAGAATAAACTATGCACTAACTAACAGTCATCATAGTTTGTCATTCAAACCTCATGATAAAATTGAAATTGATGAATTATTTTCACCAATATTACAACTAGAAGCATCTAGAAGGTCCTTTCAAGTACATAGAACTTCGTCTTTCGTAAGATCTAAAATAGATTACGTTATTCCTAAACAGAATAATGAGGAAAACGAAGCAAGTTCTTCGAAAATAGATAATTGTACTGAAGCAATCATAAAACCAAATAACAATATATATAAAATTGAACAAAAGGTTCAAGAGATAAGTAAAGAATTAGGACTTAAAATATAACAAGTTCCAATAAGAGATATATAACGAACTTACTTTCGTTATATCATAAAGAAAAACGAAAGAACATTTGTTATATAACATAAGGGCATTTTTTACCCTTCATTTATCACAAAAGACAAAAGGGTCACTTAAATAAATATGACCTTTGACTGGGTCACTTAAATAAACATACCCTGTTTAATCGCAGACTTATAGTGTTTGGTAAAATTATCTATTTCTAATTGAAATTATGAAGAGGGTGTTTTGGTATATGAAGAGGGTGTTTTGGTATAAAGGGAAGCAAGTAGTAATAGAACAATTCACAATTTTATTTACACACGTACACAGGATCGAATAAGTCGTGTTCGTTTTCTTTCTCTAGTTCGTTTTCTTTTCTTTTGGATTTCTCTCAAGTCGAACCGTTCATTTTGATTGCGGCAAATAAAATTCCGTAATCGTAGAAATCGGACGATCTCGAAATAATCTGTTGGCGGTGGGCAAGGCAATGGATGAGGGTTCTTCCATGGGTTTGGGTTTGAGGACGGCTTCAAGTGCGGCCTCCTCTGCCTCAACTCCTATAGACTCGTCAAATATTGGCTTTCAGGTTGTTTCCAATTCCTTTTTTGGTTCTGTTTCCTGTTTCATGCTTTCTGAAATCGTTGAATGGATTTGACATTTATGACTGTTTTCTTACGTATACACTCAGCTCTTGAAGAAGCATGGATGGAAAGAGGGGACTGGACTTGGTGTTGATGAGCAGGTGCGCTCTCTCTGCTCCTCTTCCCCCCACCTATTGATATACTATACGATTCCACGATTTGCTCGTGTATTTCTTTGATTTAATGTATGTGTTTCTGGACTGGATTTGGTCCGTTTTCTTAAATGTGCTACTCAGTTCTTTAAACTTAAAAAGGTGTTTGTTTTGGATTTTGTATGGTCCATTCTTTTGAAATCTTGGGAGGGAAAAAAGCAGAGTATTGGTAGTAAATCCGTCTGTTATAATATTAGGACAAACAGGCTCACTGGTGTGATTTCCTGACCGAACTAGCTTTGATTGTAATTGTGGATTGGATTTAACAACCATTTTGTCCATAGCATTATATCTTGTGCCTGTCTTCGGATAGTCACTCTTTGTTTTTAAGTTCTATTGTAAATGTTCTACTATTATGAGGGTGATTGAACTTTGGCGGTTGGGTTGGTTTTGAGTTTTAATTTTTAGTCTGTTTACCAATTTTTTGACAGAGTTGGAAAATTGTGAGCTAGACGGCTTATAAATGCGACCTTATTGCAGGAGTTTTTGGATTTCTGGCCTCTCTGCCTTCCTTCATTTAAAGTTGCTGAGTTGTTATTCCTTGAAAATCAACGCAATAACCTCTGAAATATGAACCAAGTATTACATTGGTTTTAGTATGAAATAAAATGTAACAGTTGGTCTGTGATTGCTAAAAGTGGATATCCTCATTGATAAAGGGCTTATCGATAGGAGTTTCTAAATAATGTTTGAGACAGTGAGCCCTTTAAGGCAGTGATTAAGAAACCATCTCAAGAAAGAAAGATGACCGTTCAGATGTTTGAGATTATGCATCCATAGATAGTCTTTATTTCAGTATCCTGTTTGACTATTTTCTATTAAAATTTTCAATCTTTTGATATTTAATTAAGCTAGAAATTGGGAAAAAGAATCACAAACAATGAGAATTCGTAGGTTAGATTTGTTTGTTAATGTAGTCATGTTTACACGTCTTTGGTTCTCTCACGAGCTCGGCCAGCATAACATTAGATTGGTGATAAACTATGAACTTTTGTTTCCCTGCTTTATTTTCCATGTCTTGGTTTGTGCCCTAGAAGCTTACTCTGGTAGGAAATGTTCAATCAACTCTTGATTACAAGTTTTACTACTAAGTCTACACTAACTAAACTTTCCGAGGAATGGACCTAGAAGAGATGCCAATACCATAACTTTTGAGTACCTCAATTTGGTGAACTAAACTTTCCAAGGCATGGACCTAGAAGAGATGCCAATACCATAACTTTTGAGTACTTCAATTTGGTGTTATATTCTTCTCTTATCATGGAGAATACGCATACTTACAATAATTTCTAACAACATAATACATATACTTATCTGGGCAGTGTCACTTATTCCACACAGGGCAGGTTGGAGCCGGTGCAGGCTTTTGTTAAGAAAAATAAGCGCGGTTTGGGAGCAGATAAACCCAAGAAGATAAACAAGCACTCAAAGACCAATGGTGCAGATGATCCAAAAGTAAGTGCTGATTTTTCCTTTTGCCACACCATTTTTTTTCTGTCGTTTATTTTGATTATGTTGTTTATTATGCTTTGAAGCCTGATTGGTGTGTATCGGTAAATTATATTTCTGGCTTGGCAGTACGACATCTCGTGTGATATTAATAATTATGAGGCGCCAATTAGAACTTCTAGACTTCTTTGAGAAATATGAGCAGATAGAGTTTTTAGTATCGAGAATAACAACTGTCGATTCTTACTTATAGTGACAGAGGGCTAGTGGTCTTCAAATTTATAAATGAAAGCTTCTTTCAGTCTATTTGTTGTTTGATTAACACATGATCCAAAATGTTTGAGGTATTTTGTTTGAATTAAGGACAAATTCCTGATTGTCCAGAAAAGAGTAAGGGTATTGAACATCGTATTGAAAGAATAGACTAATGATCTAGAAAGTTGGGGAACTTTATCTGATTTAGGAGCGAACTCCTGATTTTGCGGAGAAGGTGTGGATGTTGAACATGGTATTGGTACTTGAAAGTATAGTAGAAAATATGAAAACCAAAATTGTATGTGTAGTTACTAAAATAGGTCAACCGAATCAAGAAAAATACTGTAATCTAACATTAGAACAGTTATAAAAAAAATTGTGAAGAGCCGAGAAAAATGTGGAGAAATTCTCTGTAACTGTTATTCATTGATTCAAATGAACAAGCACGCACACAAGGCTTTATATACAGAATGGTGAGTAGATCGAAAAAGCAAATAAGGAAGTGACATGTGGAAATGAAGCTACGTACCTTACAAACAATCCTCGTGACTATAACTGGGCATGTAAACAAAACAAACTATTCATTCTTTCATCCCCCTAAAGTTGGACATGGGAGAAGATATGCCCAGCTTGAAAAGCAGCTGCTGAAAACGAACACCACCTAGAAGCTTGGTAAAGACGTCCACAAGCTGCTCGGCCGAACTAACATGGAACAAATAATAAAACCATCCTTGAAACGCTTTTGAACCACGTGACAATTGATCTCTAATTCATGAATCCCTGATATCACTATGCGACGGAAAAAGAAGAGGAAGAGGCAACTGGAAGTCTTGACAATTTTAGGAAATCCAGTCGAGCTCACTGAGCAGTAACCCTGATATTTGGCTTCAGCAGTAGATTTGGAATCTGTAACTTGCTTCTTGCTTTTCGAGGATCTAAGATAAGATCGTAGCCTCCTAGGAAAACACCAAACCAGTAATGGACTTTCAGTTATTCTTGATTGCAGTCCAATCGGCGTCACTATAGGCAGTCAACATAGGAGAATCCTCAGCAAATAAAAGAGACCCAAAGCAGGACACACTTTAAGATAACGAAGCAAATGAATTGCAGCATTCCAATGTGAAGTGTGTGGTTTATCAACAAACTGACTCAATTGCTGGACTGAATGGTGTGTTGTCAGCTCGAATAAGAGTTAGGTACAATAACTGACCAATAAATAAGCTGTTTGTATCTGTCTGGATCCTGATCCTCTTAGGGTTGTCCCTCATGTGCCATTAAATGCAAGTTTGCAGGAAACGGTGTTGAAGCCACCCTACTATTCTCCATGTAGAAGTTCCTCAACAGATCACTAACATATTTCTGTTAACATAACAAAGTACCATCTGTACTCCATGCACCTTTAGACTGGAAATAAAACGAACAGGAGTGATTAAGGAATTCCAGTCCATTGTCCCTTCTTACTTTCTTAATTTTCTTGTTAACTGAACTTCTGCCAGATTAGTGGAATCCTCTAAAAGCTTAGGCACTTGTGTTTTATTCCTGGACAAATACACCCACCCAAGTAGCTTGATTGAATTCATCCACTAGTCAGGAAGTAAGGGGTATTAGTGGCTGATGGTTCTTTACAAGGACCCTAAACATCTACATTTGTCAACTCAAAAATGACAGTAGACTGTAAGGAAGGCAAATGAAAAGATGATCTATGATGTTTAGTTTTGAAAGATGATCTTGTGATGTTTAGTTTTTATGACAATATTCACAGGACTTTATTTCATCAATGGCTGTTTGAGTACATAGGGGTTTCAGAAAAGATAAATGTCCCAGATCATTATAAGAAGCATGTCCTAGTGCTAAGTGCCAGTAATTCTAAGATTTGCGAGAAGAAAGGGATGAAAAAGCTGTAGTGGTGGATTTGGGCGCATCAAGGCTGTTATCTAAAACAAATCATAGTGTTCCCGTATTATTTTACCTGTAGCACTCTGCTCCTTTCAACTTCCTGAAATACGCAAATGTACAGGAGTAAACACACACGAAGATTTAGGTCATTTATGAGCCGCGGATGGAGTATATAGAACATTATGAAGAAGTATGATGTCAAGAATATGGACTGAAATAACATGAGTGACTTGCTAAGTTGATCCATCGGCAGTAATACAGTGGTTTGACAAGTGACTGGTTTAAGATCCTTCATGTTATGCAAAAGTCAACACACATATGGCTACTAGAACCAGTATCAAGTATCCAAGAGTCAGCACATAAACTTTCTTTCTGAGTTCAAAGCTGTTTAAATGATAACAATTGGAGGTACCTGGAAAATGCACATAATCATCTCCTGCGTCAGTATTTCCTCTTCCTGCAAGCACCTTTAGGTATCTCTTGTTTGATTAGGGCAGTTAAATCTGGAGTATTCATCTGTGAATTCTCTTCTCCTTGTTTAGCTCCTTCAGCAGCTCCTACTCGAACATTGTTTGTTATCTTATCTGCTCTTTGAGCTTTGTTTGCCACTCTGGAACACCATGTAACATGAAATATTCTTGTACTTCATGTCCAGATGCAGAACAATGTTAACAGAGGAATTGTCCTTTCTCTGGTAAACATGTCCTTTATTTTGTACTCTCATGTTAGTCATCAGATTAGGCTTTGACTAATCTTCCGAACCTTTTTTCACCATCATTGCTGCTAAATCTCCTTGCAATGACTCTTTATGTCAATTTCTGATTGAATCTGATCAAATGATTCATGCAATCCCATGAGAAACTGCAAAAGCTCTGTCTGAGCTTCATCTTCCATGATATTTTTACTAACTGGACAATCACATCAGCGGCAGTTTTAGATTTGCCATCAGATCCCAAAGCCTCCGTACTCATGTATAATAGACCACAATAGAATCTGTCCCCTGGCTAACTGTATTGATCTGCCTCTGCAACTGATCCAATAAAGGTCCATTGAAAGTACCATATCTCCAAGCAATATGACAATATTATCCCCAAAGTTCCTTTGTGCTGCGTGTGTAGACAAAACTTTCAACAATCTCCTTTGATATTGTTCGTAATCCAGGAAATAATCATGTAACCATTCTTCTTTTCAGCTTTATACTGTGGATCCATGGAAACTATCAAATAATCATAGAACCTAGATGCTCATGATACCATGAATCGAGAAATTCTCCATAACTATTATGCATCAAGTCAAATGAACAAGCATGCATACAGGACCTTATATACAGAATGATGAGTAGATCCAAAACCAAAAAAATAAGCAAGTGACGCGTGCAAATGAAGCTACCTACCCAACAAACAACCCACGTGTAAACAAAATGAACTATTCCTTCAATTTGAACTGGAAAGCAGAAGAAGATATCGCTGAAGGTGAAATCGACATTAGGTGAATTAAAATGTTAAGAAAACAATCTAAAAACAGCATATCAGTGACTTTCGACCAAAACTTAAAGATTTGAATAGGATGTTATATTTGGTGTTACTTACCATCGATGTTGCCTCTGAATATGTCCATGAAAATTGATGTCCTTGTGTCTAGTGTCTAGTTATGTGTGATTGGTCTTGAAATTTATTTTCTGGTAGGCTGCATAAGCTACAGTTGACTATACGTTCCTCACATTATGATTTTATCCATGCTGGATTAATGGGCGGTAGATTTATCGTCCTCTGTGTGTGTGTGTGTGTCCTGCTAAAAACTATAGGCTGTCAAGTAGACAGTAAGTTGAATGAGCACTTGCAAAACATTGTCTATGAAATAATAATGTGAAACTAACAAATACTCCATCAATGTTCTGTCAAGGTGTTTGAACTTCTTTCCCTGCACTGCCTATTGCATTACAATTGGTCGATACCCTTCAGAGTTTGTTGTT